CACACATTTTTCAATAAAATAATATTTTCTATAACATCAATAATTTTTTCTTCTTTTTCAACCACACATTTCTCATCATATCACTATTCAAAAATCAATTCTTCCCCCAAAAATCCCTACCAAACAGGCTCTTAGTATGTAGTTCTTTATACTTCATATGCCAATTACTCTTTTATGGGTCAATAAATTATTGAAAATTTTTTGGATTTGAAGCTTGTTTCACTCTCAAGAAATACTAAACCCTCGTTTGGAATTTATTATTTTCAAAGTATATTTTTTTTCTCTCTTCTATTTAACAACACATTCTTCAATAAAATAATGTTACACACAAACAAACAAAAATTCTTATTTTTTAACCACACATTCCCATCAATATATTACTTTAAAATGCATTCTTAGAAAATAACGAGGGCTCAATCATGCTCTAAATAAGGAAATGAGTAAAATTTTCTTCTCCGACTTTGGTTTTTCTTTTCTCTCCTTGCCTTGCTCGTCCGCTTATGTCGCATGCACTCCTCAAACCGTGTAGTACTTCTTCAGTTTCAATTAATAGCTACCCTCATAATTTTTTTTTGTAATATAGATGGGATCATTAGTTTTAGTGAAAACAATTATTTGTTAATTAGTTCACATTTGAGCATGATTTTTTAAAATTCATTCCTCTCTAAACTTATTTTTAATTACACATACTATTGTTAAAATAATTTTATTTGTAAATTCAAAACGTTTCATATATTTTAACCACAAATTCTTGAAATATACCAATCTAACAAAAAACAATCATGTTATGTTGTTAGGGTGGGTACGACAGAGGTGGGAGAGATTTTTAGACATTTTTTATTCACGCGGATCCCAGTGTAGGTCAACGTAGTGGATAATTTTTTTTTACGGGTGATTCATCTTAATTGAACAAAAAAATAAACAATCGTGCTACATGTACACTCTCATACACGCATTGGTTGACAATCTCCCACGTGGATTTATCAAAAGAGTAATGCTAGGCGTACATAATCATTCACATAAAGGTTCACATAATACTGACGTGGCAATCATCCACTCGTTGATGTGTAAGTGTGAAATTTGA